CCAATCGAGTACCAGCGCAGGGAGAGCAAGTCGAACAGCCTCGGCAGGAACATGAGGTCTCCTACTGCTTCAGCCCCCGGCCTGAGACCTCACTCCTCTGCGTCCATGGACCGCCGCCGGCTGCCCTGCCCGCTGACCCACAACACCTCCCTGCCCTCTCTGCACCGCCCCCACCACAGCCCGGCCTCCAAGGTGGTGAGTGTGCTGCTACGCTTCCCTGGAGCATTTATGTACATTAAAGGGGACATATCATACTCATCTTCAGGTTCATACATACAAAAGATGTTTACACTTAATTGTTAAAAACACATTATTTTCTCACGCAGTCTGTCTGATAATACCTGTATTAATGCTCAGTTTTAACGCCTGTCCCTTTAATACACTGTTGTGGACTTTCACAGGATACCGCATGAAAAACCTTTCAGATAACATATGAACCATTGTATGAGGATACATTGAAAAAGACATGAAATCTCACTTTTTACACCCTAGAGCAGGGGTGTCAAACTCAATTTCATCACGGATCACATTCGCATTATGGTTGAACTCAAAGGGCCGGTTGTAACTTTAAGACTATATAAATATATAATATATATCAAATAATGTATTATATTACATTATTGCCTCATTGGATTATTATCGTATAGGGTAATAACTTCATAACTAACTACGTCTGAAGCAGAAGTCTAGGGCAAATAATTGCAAGTCTTTTCAGTGCGCATGTCACAAAATGAGATGCATTGTGTCCAATGTAGTTTATGGACAACGTGCTTCTGTAAAGTGGCATGTAACTGTATAATAAACTCATTATATTTTTTGCAAGCTCGTGCGACATAAAATGAAGTCGCGGGCCAAATTCCGGCGCTAAGAGCTTGCAAAGGGCCTTGAGTTTGACACCCCTGCCCTAGAGCCTTTAATACATTTCTCCTCCTCTGACATCCACTTTCTTTCTGATTTCTGATTCTCTCTTAAGTTTTCTAGTCCCTGTGCTTCAACCCATCGATCAGCTCTCCCTCCTCTTCGCTCCCACCAGCAGCTCAGTTTGTGCACAGAGGTGAGCCTCGACCATGGGACGTTCAATGGCCTGACACCCTGCAGCCAGCACAGCATGCAGGTACACTTTATAATCCACAGAACACAAAGGTTTGGACCAGATAGAGCTGGTTTCTCTATGTCAGCGGCATAAGGCAGTTTGTTGTCATGATCAGGGGAATTCATCCACAAAAAGCACACTGGACGCTGCACTAGGTCAGAAACCAGAGGAGACTGTGAAGTCCACCGTAGACGGACAACTTTTGGACAAAATGTACTCTCCATTAAAGGCAGCTCATTGTGGAATAGCCTCCCAACTGAGATACAGGATTGTCCCACTCTCAATAGCTTCAAAGGTCACCTCAGAGAATGGTTGAGAAACAAACTAAATGCACTTTAACACAGGGGTATCTCCTCTCGCACTTTAGGTAGCTCTTGTATCTTCTCTTGCACTTTATATGTCGTAGCTGCTATATTCTATTACCATGTGATAAATACTTGTGTATGCTGCTCTTGCTCTTTTGCACTTTTTGCATAACATGTATTTTGTTTTTGCTATGTTTGTAAAATGTAAACTTCTTAAATGTTTTATGTGAGGGACTGCGGATGGAAATGAGCTCAAAGCTAAATCTGGCACTGTTACGCTTGACACATTTTTTATGTTTTAAGTCTTCATCACTGTGCATTGTCCCTGCCAAATAAACGATTAAATAAATTAAATAAATCACTAATGATGAGGGGAAATGACTCTCCGGTTGCCTTTGTCAAATATCCTGTTGTTGTTTCTGCAAGGTTTTACAAACCAGGTCCATCTAATCTTAAGCCAATGTCATTCAGTCATACACTTTATGGAAAACTGACTGACCTGCTGTTTTATCTTATTCAGTCAGACTTCCACCAGGAGGAGGAAATGGTTTGATCACATATTGCTTATCTGGCTCTCGTCCTCTTTGTGTTCAGGCTGTTTCCATCCTGCTCTAAGAGCAAGTTTAAAGACAGGTTTCTCGTTAAGCTGAAACATATTTTTTTTTCAATGGTGCTTATCCCTCCGACTTATTCTACAACCACCCATATGGATGTGACAACTCCAAAATTGTATTTCTGTGCAAATTATATTTAAGCAAAACCTTGGAAGTTTGTCTAGTGAACCACTAGTATTATATTAGCATTTGAGAAGCACAGAAATAGTCATTTGTATAACTTATACATCTTTTATAAGCTGCAATAATCAATATTTTTCTACAAACCAATTCAATTGCTAGATGTAATGTGACCTATAAGCCAGGTTTCCATCCAAATGTGTCACACAACAAAGAATATGCACAATAAAATGCAACTGCTGTTTAATTGGTTGTTTTTTCCTCTCAGGGTGTGACTGCCAGAGTCCAGGCAGCTACATTAAATGAGGGTGCTCAACCAAACAACCTGGATCAGCTGACAGAGAGCGAGCAGTGATGACCTGCGGTGACACATAGACTCACTTCACCTTTCTGGAGCAGGAGCCCCTCGGGCTGAGGCAGCATCGTTGGATTCACGCTTGTCTCAGTGTTTCTCTTCCTCATATTTGATCCCCAATTACACCCCGATTTTTCTTCTCCACCATGGTTTTGGCTGTCCTGGATTTCTTCTTCTATAACACGTTGGTTTGATCGTGTGTTTACTCTGCATGGACACACAAGTACAGGCGATGATAACAGATGAGATGTTAAAATATGGTTTTGAAGCATTACAGAGACTGTATTTCATATTGTATATGTAGACATTTCTAACTTTTTCCATTGAAAATTAATGGGTGGATTTTTTTGTAATATTTTCACAAGGGACCAATTCCACAAAATTCCCCCTGAGAGTTTAAATCCCTTCACTCTGTCATACTCTGCATCCTGAAGTGACTGAGAGACTGTGGTTTCACTCGGGGGTCTGAATCAGGTCTGTATCTCTGTGGTTCCCTGCTGATTATCAAATAGCTGTTTTTTCCCCGTTGGTGGGCTATTTTAACCTTGCCATTGTTAAACTGTTATCTGAACGAAACACATTTGCAAACTTACATAAAGCACCCGTCCTAATCGAGCAGAAAGAGGAAAAGGGGAACAAAGATAAAACAGAGGTGCTCACCTGTCACTGTCATCATGAATGTAAATAATCTCATGTGGGATCGTATCAATAAAGATCCTCTGTGCTGTCCCAACACACACAGGGGATGAAAGAGAAATGCTGTTGTCACCATCATTTTTATAAAAAACGTCAAGATATTTCAGAGTAACACTTTGTCACACAGTCATGGATGACTGAGACAATGAGACCACTGGCCCCTGGGCTCAGACATGTTAGAGGACCCCCAACCCTCTGTCAGCACATGGGAGCAAGACCCCCAGACTGTGGTACGTATTTTGAAGTAACTTCTCTTATATATTCGGTTGTTTTGCATCCTTTCTCAGCTTTTTGCATCTTTTACTGTATGGTTTTTTGTAATGACATTTCGCTGTGTGGTCATTGTGCATCTCTTGGTTCTCTTGGTAGCTGTTTAAAAATGTGTTGTAGTCGTGCAACATTTTGTGTCTTGTGTTGTTTTGCATTTCTTTGTAATCATTCTGCATCTTTTTATGGTCTCTTTTTTCTCCGTCTGGTCATGTTATGTTTTTTTTTATTATTGACTTTCCAATAAGAGATTACCTCAAATAGAGGCTCTGGTTCAAGATGCATGAAAGGGGAAATTAATTCTACCGCGATGTGACTGTTGGAAACCATGATTTGTATTTAAAAAGAGTAATTAGAGATTAGAGCCTGCTGATCTATTTTTTTTACAAAGGACTCTTTATTCCAACATACAAGGTATAATCAAAGATTTGCACATTATCAGATTAAGAACAGCGAACTGTTGCTTAAGCGTCCTCTAGTGGAGAGATTGAAGATGCTTTTTTCTATAAATGAGTTACTCTTTAATCTATCACCATCCTCTTTTATATCATGAATGTTTGTTTGACAGTTGAAATGACAGTTGTGATGACAAACAAACTAAAAAGCTTCAGTTTTATGGTCACACGGTGGCAGTTGGTGGTCTGACTGTATGACACCTCACGTCCCAAAGGCTCAGTGTTCATTTACACTGTGCTTTGGAGCAGTGTAAGTGTGCTTCACATGCACACTGCCTTTATTAACACCTCCGCCTTGTCGGCTCTCTTCTGTGCACGGCTCAACACGAATTATGTTCTGTCCCTTTTTTCTTCAATTCTCATGTCATTTAAATGTTTTTTATATTATACAGTGGGTCAACATGGACGGACCATGGCTGGACAATGGGCAGGGCACAGAGATGTAAGTGGCCTCCAAACCTTTGTTTTTGATTGTTTTGAATTTAATTGTATTTCTTTGGGGATGTTTGCCACTTGTTTCAGTCATTTCGCCTCACCTCAGTCTCCTGACTCCTTGGGTCCCACATCCTCTGCCTGTGAGGCGTCTATCCTTGTGTATCAAACATATACTGTATGTATAAAGGTATCAAGTAGCACCATTGGGGCTCAGTGTTTTCAGATGCTTCCCTCACAACAACCAACATTTAAACGTTGACCCTGTTCTTATTTTTTACTGACCCTTTAGCGGCTTCCTCTGCTTTAGTTGACGTCCTCTTTTCTATAAAAATATTCACAAAATAATGACTGTGATGAACAATTATATAAACCAAGGACTAAACGATGCAGGAGCCAACCACTGTATAGCTGTTAGACACACACTATATTACTTTTGACTTAAATCACAAACGTAGAATATTAACTGAGTCCTGTAAATATGTCCCAGTCCAACAGTTAGAGGATGAGCGGTGATGGCAGGAATACAAAAATCAATGCTTTTGTTTTGGTTTAGTAATAAGTGTCTACATTTGGAGATGGACAAGGATGCCTAAACGAACCTATGACTTTAATGTAGACCCCCATCCCAACCCCTCAACATAATTTAGGGCAATAAAAGAGGCATTTCCACAGACATTTTAATATGTCAACAGTCGAAATCAATTTAAAAATGCTCATAATGGCGTGACCAGACAAATCAACCAGTGGTTTTTGGGTGAAGCAGGCAAGTTACATTTCTGTGTTCACACAATTAATAATATCACACACAAAAATGCTTTCAGCTCAGCTATAGATCTGCCGACAATTACAAATCTTTGAACACACAATTACACAAAAACCTTTAATAATACTGTCACTGATGAAGTTTCACTTTGATTCCCCATCCACACAGCTAACTTCAGAAACAAAATAAATAAATAAATATCACTCAAAATTGTTTTAAAATATTCATCTTCAGATAAAAAAAAAAAAACATCAGCGCATAATTCTCTGGCACCTCTTTGTTAATAACAAATAACTTTTCGAAACAAATTGGTCTTATGAAACAATAAGGTGATACAAGGGCACCATCTAAAGGCCATGGTATAAAACAACATCCCTTCAGGCATGAGGCAAACAGTAACTCTCCAAAGAGCCAGTATAAAAACAGGATTTTCAAGCTTCTCCGTCTCTCCTTGACTTTGTCTCCCTTTCACGCTCCGACTACATACTTTCAAGATGTTAATTTATCACCAAACGCTCATTAATTCTGTCTCAATGTGCTGTTTTTTTTTTCTCTTTTCTTCACTTATAATAAGAAAAAATAAACATGCACTTTGGTTCATTTCACTTTTTCTTTTAGGCAGCGTGTAAAGATGCATTTCCTTTCTTTGCCGTTCAGCAACGTGCATCGGACAGAAGCGCTCCTCTTCTTTAGATGTTAGTCGAGAGTGTCAGACAGCAGAAGACAAAAAAACACAACAGAAGGCTGCTCGCAGATCAGCTGACACCATAGGTGATGGGACTGAAAGTTTCTCCTCCTCAGACGCAATTAATCGCTCACAAATGACACATAAGATTCTGGGTAAAGTGGGGTTAGCAAAACTATAACACAATGAGATAAAAACACCCACAAGCCAGCAGCCCAACCCTTTGGCAGGACAGAGCGCAGAAACCACAGGCGGAGAAGCTCTGAATGCATTCTTCATGTGGCGTTGGTGGAAAGGATACCTACAGTATGTGCTGTGTCTACAGGATTGTCACTTTCTGGCAAGTGTCCCTTTGCTGTCATCCTCAAACGTCTATTGCTTTTCTCAAGCTCAGTCTTTTCTTTGTTGATAGTGCAAATTGAAGGAGGACACGTAGCTCTGCTCATTAGCCTAGAATGACAATGAAGGGACTCAGTCTGGGAATTTGCTACCTGTCAGGTTTCCCCAAAGCTCGGTCTCTGTGTCGGAACAGCTCGAGAATGTAAAGCCAAATCAAATGAAATAAGATGATGAACTGGGTCTGGGAAAACAAGATGATTATGTTTGTTTCTACAGGTGACTGTCTAGACAGCCTTTGATATCTGTGTCTATAATATATACTGTGGATGAGGATCTTTTAGCACTGACTGTTTCTCTATGTTGAATCCTGACACCTCTAATAAAGGTTGTCAAGTAAAAAGCAAACCAAAAGTGTGTCTAAATCTTGTCTGTCGGGGCGTGGCGGGGGAGGAGAACTTCTTTGGCAACTCATGAAGAGCAGAGGAGCCCTCAGGCTGAAGAAGAGAGACACTAATTATGAGTCAAACACTGAAATCGGTTCTTGAAGAACAGCAGGCCGTTTTTCGTGTGTGTGGCGTCAGAGGAGGCCGGCGGGTAGCGAAACTTGGCGTAAGTCTTGTCGCTCTCTGATTGGCTCGTCCAGGGAAGTTTGATTTTGGTGGCATGATTGACAATGACATCATCACAAGAGCCCACGTGGAGAGATCCCAGGCCATCGATGAAAAACTCTGAGAAAAGAAAACAGAAATGATTCAGCCACATGCATTTAAAACGTTCAACTCATTTGAGTGTGTCTAATTGAATTATCCCTAACACTTTATATGATGCTCAATCCATAGTGCATTATTACCTGCTTGTATCACTGTATTTTCTAATAAGTATAGTAAACACATATATAAGGTTTATAGCAATAATCATCACGCAATAAAAAGCACTTTGTTTTGCGAGGATCATGGTAATACATCATTGTGATATTTGCATAATGGCATATTTGGCTTTTAACATCTATTCCTTATGCAGTACAATCATATAATGCAATGTAAGTTTGTTTACTTCAACATCCTCAAAAACGTTAATAAGGGAGAAGTGGAAAACGGTATATTAGAGGACTAAATACAAATGTAATTCAATTGTATTTAATGCATTTCGTTTAATTAAATTATAGCAGAGCACTGATTAAACATTTCACACTTTAATTTCTTTGCAACAGTTAATTTGATAATATCTCAATAAGTCAAATGAGATATGAATCTTTTAAACATAATTTACCAAAACACTTCATTACAAAGCATTAGGCAGTTAAGTCTCATGGTCTTTAATCAGAACGGTACTGCAGGCTCTCTCTTTGTTTCTTGTGTGCGCCAAGTTCACATTCAGATTGTCTTGATTTCACACCACTGTATGTAACTAACCCTTGCTGGGTTGCTTGAGTATGCACAAGTTAGAAAACATAAACCACACATTTAACATGTTTGCAGATGGTTACAGCATTCCTTTGCTTGATTTTTTAAATGTGTTTTTAATGGAAGATATGGCCCCAGATTAGCTGCAAACAACTGGAAATAAGGGCAAGCACACACATGAGTGTAGAATGTTGACACTTCCTTTTTCACACCCTGCTCTGATGAATGACTGTCGTAGGAACCATTTTATGGGTGTTGTTGGCATGTCAGTTTATTTAATTTATATTTATAGTGCAATACTATTTTTGAACACTTGGTGGCGGGGGTTAGCTGCACCAGGTGTATAAAAGGGGTCATAGGTGACCGGAAGAGTGAGGACACAGGAGGAAGAGCATACAGATTCAACCAGCCCGGCAGATGCTCAAGATACAACCATTCACTCAGTGATTAATTGGTAATATAAACGATCAATAAACATCATTCTAAACTGTACTCAAGACCGGAAATAATCTGTTTGTTACTGCGTCTGGATCACTCATTCTCCTGTGAAAGTAATGGCAAAAAGGATATAGGATATTGGAACAACGAAATTGTTATTGTACATTTGAATAGTCTAATAACACTCTTCACTGTTTGATATGAACATTATTCTTCCCCTGTACTCACCCAGGTGAGCGACCCTGGCGAGACGCGGGTCGAAGCCGACCTGCTGCACTTTGTCGGTGCGGGCCAGGAAGAAGTTAATAACCCCGTCAGTCACCACGCAGTTAGGGAAGCCTTGGATAACGTGATGAAACCCTCTCCTCAAGTGTAAACAGTCTCCATCCTCCTCCCCTGACTCAATGGAGATGGTCTGTCTGTAGGTGGCAGTGTAACCTGTGGCCTCCCGCACTGCACCGCCCACCTGGACACACACACACAAACACAAACACAAACACGAACACACGAACACACACACGCACACGCACACGCACACACACACACACACATTGATGTCACTGAATCAGGAACACAAGCCTGCCACAGTCATTTTAAACAAAAGCTTTTTGTTTTCTCACCAGATCCAGAGTGGTTCTCTCTAAGACGTCCACCAGTTTCTCCAGCTTGGTGTTGGATGTGAATATGAAGTCGTCGTCCACCCACAGCACGTACTTCGTGGTCACCTGAGAGACGGCCAGGTTTCGTCCAGCAAACCAACCCTGTGGCACATGACGCAGAGCGTGAATACCAAAAAGGATCAGTGAACACTTTTTTTAAAAGTTGCTCCTTGAAGGACAAAACTATCCACATAAAACAACTGCTATAACAAAGTTATATATTAATATCATTTCACCTTATTACTGAGTTAAATTATTTATCTAACTTCCATCCAAATTGTAATTTTCTAAATGTAACCCTTTAAATACCAGTTATTTTACACTGTTATGAAACAGTAACCTTATGACAATGATAAGCAGCATTGATTATTGTATTTTGTTAGGGTCAGATAAAGAAAAGTTGACACTTTAAAGTGCCAGTTGGTTTTACACACAGTATTCTTCTGTAAACTAAATTCTAGGGGAATCTTTTCTTGATTCATGAAGATATGAATGCATTGCATAAAATACATAATACAGCAGCAATGTCCCTGTTGGAAGCCGATAAAATAACATGTATTTGGGTTTCAATAGAACAATTCTGTCCTAAATGAGTGTCTGTGAGTTAGCTAATATAGGAGCTCAGATAGATATTCAGAAATGTAAATAAACAAAATCCTTCTCACACCCTTTTTTCCCATTTCTTTGTCACATTTGTCATATGCACATCTAATGTGATTGATAGCTACTCATTTAAAACCCCCATATGTCCCTAGCGCAGGACAAGGGTTACACATCCATGGTTACAAGCCTTCACTATGAGTCTCCCTACCTTTCCAAAAGGCATGATGTAATGTTCGATGTAAGGCCCAGAAATAGTTTGGGGGTTTTCGCTGTCATCAGCGATCACTATGGTGACGGTAGGATAGTATCTCCTCACGCTGTCGATGAGATTTTGAAGCTTTTCATACCGCAGGAAAGTCTTCGTAGCTATGGTAACAAGGGCACTGACGTTGTACTCTGCAGAGAAGGAAGATGAAACAATCGTTAGAGGAAAGTTAGCTTTTTTATTTTTAGTAAATGAAGATATGTTATTACTGTAAGGCTTATTGTTCAGTGGTGTTTTACCTCCTTTGGATCCTGTGTTATACAGTTTGGGAGTCACCCCGTGTTGAATCTTGATACTGAAGCTGGCTTGATGCCCCTCCGTCTCCAACTGAACTAATAGACACAACAAAAACACATTTAATTTGTGTGATAGGATCTTACTGGGGCGAACCGCTCTGCATTTGTTAATGGAGTAGGGCTGTTCATTCAAAATGCTGAATGCATTTAATTATCCACAAAATATTGAAACTGGAGTAATGGTTGCTATATAACAGGTTGACAGATAATTTAGAGGTAAATGTGATCTTTGACTTTGGTCCTGCATGTCCTCAGGCTTTGTCCCTGGTGACCATTGGTGAATCTCTATTAAAGTAACACAAACAGGCTGTATTATTATATAAGTCTGCCTCCTGATTTGATGCCCAGGTCGATACAATGAAAAGTATCTAAATGTATGCAAATATTTACTCCAGTTATTATTTCTATAGTGACCAACTGTAAGTGTGATATAATAAATATCAAAACAACCTTTCTTTTTGGGAGATAAAAGGTCCAGTGTTTAGTGGTGAGGTCCAAATGGCAACTAACTAAATCCCAGATATTAAGGTGGCCTTCAGGAAACCTAAAACCTGAAAGGCCATCTCTAGAGCCAGTGTGTAGTATGTCCTTTCTGTCCTACTGAAGAAACACTGCGTCCAAACTCCCCTTTATTCCTTTAAATCATGGGAAATATGCTCATTGGCTTTTTGGCTAAGAGTTGGAAGATAACATTGCTTTCTGGTAACTTTGTAAGGATTTTCAACATGTTCATTTGTGAGATTTTATTACCTAAGTTACAACCATAGATATAGAGATTTGGACAAAGTAAGGCAAGCTTTCCCCCCCTCTTTTCAGTCTTGATGATAATAATAAACGTTATTTGTATAGCACCTTTCATGCACAAAGCAGCCCAAAGCACTTTATTAAAGAAAAAATAACAACAATATTAAAATAATATTAAAATAAATACAGAACAAGATAAAACATCTACTGTGATCCTAATGCAATTCCCTTGAACTAAAGCTGATATTCAAATAGGTTAAAATAAAACAATTTAAAAAAGAAAATTAAAAGTGTAAAATAAAAGCAAAACAGAAAAAATACAGTAACACAATGATACCAGTGAGAATTGAAATTAACCCAAATTAAAAGCCATATTACAAAGAGTTTGCTGTTCTAAGATCCATGGGGAGATCTCTTGTGTGATACCCTTGGAATTTCTAAAGCAGGGCAGTGGAGGATCTAAGGGTTCTTGTTGGAACATCTTGTTGATGCTAAGCTACGCCAACTAGCTGACATGTACTGACAAGAGAATATCAACTCTTCTAATCATCTAAAAGGTTGTTTTGGGGAGCTTTTACTTATGCGAAGCAATAGTCTAAAAGGAGGTTAAGGCACATTTTGCGGGGAAAAAAGCACTGAAATACTGAACGTTTGTTCTCACCTGTGTCTGCCGTGCTGGGGTTAAACAGTGTGTTTGTGTAGGTGACAAACTGCAGCTGTCGGTTCAGGTTTAGCAGCAGGCTGCTGGACAGAGTCATGTGCATCTCGCTATCACCTTTGATTTTCACCCCGTCCACCTCTGCTGCCACATTTAGCGTTCCGAGCATGGCAGTGAAGTTTATCTGCAGCGAGATGGAAAAATGGTGAGTGGATTAAAAGCAAAGCAGATATCTAAAGTATGTCAAAGTAAAAATAGAAATACATACCGAGTAGTGGTCTCGGGGAAGGTCGTGTAAGGCCAAGCCTGAAAGCATTATGATAACAATTGACAGGCTATGTTACTACAGCCTTTAAGACACAGTTAATGCACAAACTGTAAGCACAATTTAAAATAGGCACTGTGTGTTTCCTAAAAACGAACTGTTCTATTTGTGCTAAACCGGTTAACGATGCTTCTTATGTTATGCAGAAAAGTGGAATCCATATCCAATCTATTTGTGCACACAGCACTGGTACGTCACACATGAGCCATCTCCAGGTTTAGATATTTTTAGCTGTAGTAGCTTAGTGACCAATGCCTCAATTAAAGGTCACCTATTATGCTAAATCCACTTTTTCCTGTCTTTTGTACATAAATGTGTGTCCCCTCTGTGTTAAGCGATTTGGAAAGTTTCAGGAAATAAGATTCTCTTTCTTTTTGTCCTGATCCATTTATATAAAAACTTTTCCGAAAATGAGCTGATCACATTTTCAGTTCATTAGAATTTAGAATCAGAATCAGCACTTTTGAAACAGGGTTGAAACAGAGGGGTTTATGGGATGCTACAATGCATGATCTGTTTGGTTTTTCGAGCCAAACACTTCAGAGACATGTTTTGTATACATCTGAGACCTATACTATATTGTTGAAAAAGAGTGTAACAGGGGACCTTTAAATAATCTAATCTAAAACCGCAACATCTGTTTTAACTGTTGAACAGCAATCTAGTTTAACAAATAGTCATGTTCAAATGTGTGTCCCACTCTCAGGTCTGTCTGAAGTCTTACCTGGGATGATGATTGTTCTTAGGGGACGAAGCTCCACCCCCTGCGTTGGATACTGTAAGGGATTGTTAGCCTCTGCAATAATGAGAACATCTGCAGGTGTCTGCGACCTAAGGGGAGAAAAGATCATCACCAGGATGCTCCCTGCAGCACACACACAACTAACATCAGCAAGCATGGAACAACTACGCTCAAAATGCAGTGAGTGTTTTTTGCTCTACGAAAACACAGTGAAGAGAGAATTCAATAGCAGCTTCTGAAAAACTTGTGATTATTCTCAGTTGAAATATCTCAAATACATTACCTTGACACCTTCCCTGGTTAGTTTAATTACATTTAAGACAATAACATTTTTGTAAACAGGTTTCCTAAGATGTTATGTGTAAGGGTCATTCCAGAATTGGAGGACAATTTAGACACCAACATTTTTGAAAAATGAACCTTTTATTTTATTATGTTTTGTTATGTACAGTATTTAGGGAAAACAGATAATAAACCATCAAAAAAAGTGATTAGCCCAGCTAAGGCATCAAATGTATATTTTCCAATGAAGAATTAACCCTGTTACTCTAATTATAGTAACAGGGTTGCAAATCAATGCTAATTTTAGCTTTTACCTCAGGAATTAATGCTAGCTGCACAATGTAATGCTATTGTCAAGGAATGGACACACTTGGATATTTAACTAAAGAAAGATACATTTGAAATACATTTGTTTTAATCTCATAATGTGAGTAACAGGGTTGCGTTTGTATGAGTGCCACACTCCTTCAAGAGTGACAAGATTGGAAATATATTACAAATAAAAGAGAGGACTTAGTTTTGGTCTACCCATGGTAGTAGCACATGGCTCGCTGATGTCCTTTCCACTGTGTCATGCGACAAACAGTTTTTTCACTTCCTCTGCCAAGCTAAAAAGGTTTCGGTAACAGGGTTGCGCGCATGTTGAGGGACACACCTTCTGTGCAAAATTACTGTTATTTAAAATGTGTTTATGATTTAACAAATTGATTTGACCATTACAAGAGACATATATCAATAGAATAATATCAAAAAAGTAAATAAAAACCCTATTTGAAATGTTATATATGGCGTGCAAGTTGGTCACCAAGAAGCTGGGACAAGAGAAAAGGGCCATTTTAGGGGGTGTTCGAGAGCTATTTGATATTTTAAATAATATTTTGAAACCACTTTTTCTATAACTTTATAGTATATTTAACACAACAAGTGCATGTTTTAGCTTTTTGGGCATGGATTATTAGATTTTTTATATGGGGGACATGAAATGTCCTCCAATTCTGGAATGACCTTTAAATATGCAATGAGTCAACAGCCTATTAAATATGTACTCATTTTCATACTTTTTCCGTACAGATATCTGAACAATGGCTAAAGCCAGGTTCAAAATAGTTGTTTCCTTTTGTGGGCATATTAGAGTCAAATATTTTTACCGGGAGGTTTCTTTTATATCTCTTTGTATCACGTAATGAATCAGGAAATACGGCAAACAGACACTCGCAATAACTACCCCAATAAGATGATTCTCCATCATTATCCTGCTTGTTCATCAACAATATTTGACATCTCTGCTTACCTCTTCTGGAAACTCTTGTACTCTTTGGCCCGTCTCCTCTTCATCTCCTCCAGGTCAGAGGCCTCGAAGGCGGTGTGCAGCGGGTGAGCCGACACCCGCGGGAACAAGAGCTGGGCGAAGGGCAGGTTCACTCCTCCACTCTCACCCTCACATATGCATCCGTTACGCGCCAACAAGCTGGATGGATCATTGGAGATACATGCATGTGAGGAAATCATGTTTAGCTGACCTCTGTTGTGCTCAGGAGTTTGAATAAGGAAAAAATAACAGGATAGATAGATAGATAGATAGATAGATAGATAGATAGATAGATTTGAAGAAAATGAATTACCTTGCCACATTGTCCCTCACGTGAAAGGGGATGTTGCCTAGTCGGTGGTCTGGTTCTGGGAGCCTCTCCTCTAGATGCCTCTCCAAAATTGACCCCGATCGCTGCCACACATCCACAGTGGTGTAAGCCCGAGTGGGCCACGAATGAATGAGGGCCAGCACCAGCACCACAGACACCAGGATAGCGAGCAACACCGTCTTTCTCAGGGAGCGCATCCTGAAACCTGAAGAAGAAATGTGCATGTTTAAATTCCTCCTGCGCACACAAAAATATCTACTTTATAGTTCAGGTAATGTGAGGCTCCAAAGATTCAAAGGCTTTATTGTCATATGCACAGACATCTTAAGTCCCAGGCTCCTCCAACAATGCAACATAAATATATCTAAGACATAAAACAATAAAACAAATGTAAAAAAGAACTAAAATATTGCAAGGAGAAACAGAAAAAAAATTGTGCAAGATTATGTTGCAGGCAGGATCAATTGTGCAAGTAATGTAAAAAAAAAGAAATAAGCTAAATATTGCAGAAAATGTTGTAAATTAGCAAGTAGCGTCATTTTAAATCAAGTAGATATCTTCCAAAGTAAGTCATCTCAGCACATAAAGACTGTGAGAAAAGATTAAAAAAATTGATTGTGTCCCCCATCTTGAATACTGTATGAAGAAAGCCAGACAGACTGGAAGGCTCCAGAGACACAGAGCATTCCTCAGATTATGTGTGGTTACATTCATAGAGCCACTTGGGGGTGAATGGGAAAAGGATGTTGAAGCATGCATTAACTAAAGCACTGCACTCTAGCTGGTATCTATCAGTGTGGCTCTGTGGTGTCATAAAACCTTCCGGCATCTAAAGTGCGGTCAGAACGAGAACCAACAATCAGATTGATTGATGATTTAGCTTCTAAATTAAGATTAGCCAGCTAGCTCAGTATGCGTTACAGTACACTAGTTAGTTACACAGTTAGCATTTTATAGTGATAGATAGTTAAAACAAACAAAAAATACATTTACATTCTATCCCTGGCCATGTCTGCTATACATGTTTCAATTCTCAGAAACTTACCAGAACACAATGAGCTCTTTTAATATGATCCAGATGTGATGAACAAAAATTATATTTCCGCTCTGTATGTTTTTCAAATGGTTCATCATTGTTATTCGTGTGTCAGATCCCCTGGGGGTGTTTCCTCTGTGTGTGTGTGTGTGTGTGTGTGTGTGTGTGTGTGTGTGTGTGTGTGTGTGTGTGTGTGTGTGTGTGTGTGTGTGTGTGTGTGTGTGTGTGTGTGTGTGTGTGTGTGTGTGTTTTGCTGGGACATTAACATAATGACAACAATCGCAGCTCAGAAAGATCCTGTATAATGCTTTCTCTATGCGTGACCTGAATTGCTCTTTGCAAACTCCACAGAGACAATTTCTTGTTAACTGTTTGAGGGTACAACTTACTGTAAACACCTGTAACAAGTGTTTAAACATTTTAATTTGTATACAGCACCATTTGTGGACCAAAAATATAATATACAGAATTAGTATATTACTTATCTTCTCTTCCCTTCAGTGTGTGTTTTAATAAGTATGAATATTTACCCATCAGCCTCTATCCAGTCAGTGAAAGGGCATCCTCTGTAGGAACCTGCATCTCCAGAAACTATGTAGATAGTCACAGAAATTAGTTAGCACCTTCCCCATCTGAAAACAAAAATAAACATTATTAGAATATACAGTATAGCGAATCATCAGTAGCTCATTCGTTCTTGACTTATGGCCAAAAACCTCCCAGTGACCTTGATCAGTTCATAACTGAGTCTTGTGCCAATTTGAAGAAATTCCCTCATGGTGCTCCTGAAATATCCTGTCACAGAAAAGGGACAGATGTGAGGTCACAGTGACCTTTTAACACCAAGTTTGTATCAGTTAATTCTTAGTCTTGTACGGCCAGACCAATCTCCACAGTCCTGCACCCATAATCACTCTGGCACACACATTTTATTTCTTTAAATCAATCACATCGTCTTTGGGAGGACTAAGCAAAGACACAGAAATAGATATCACAGATAGTGGAAGGGAAGGATGTCCAAGTAGACGTTTGTGGCACATCTCAAGAAATTCCCTCCCGAGTTATCCGGTTGACAATAATGGGACTGACAAGTAAGCATTGTATGAAAACTGCATGAGGCAATTTCATCGTCACTTAGAAACCCAGGCTAGCAGCCATATGGTGCTTCATTAGCTAGTTGAGTGGTCCTACAGCCCTCAGGGGAAATTCAGCAGGGTTTGGGGGTCGACTGTTTTAGGTTTGTTGTAGGTAAAATCAATACGATATGATCACAAGAAGAAGCCAAACAGCCTGCTGCTGTGGCCCTGTGCTCTTATCCCTCAGAGGAAATGTTTAATCTTCAAGTCCTTTTAAAACGTTTCTTCCTGTTGTATTGTTGATGGAGGATACACCATGTTGGCCTTGGATAACCTATGTTTCTTATATTAAACTAACTACTGCCACTTCTCTCACCGGGTCGACTCAGAAAAGGGTGACATTTAGACATGTGGTACTTCAGGCAGCAATTTCCATGCGGATCTTTTCATATATTTCTATAAATGATGTCTTAAAGTGGAAATGTTCATTCAATAGCATAGGATTATAGAGTGCTATTATTCATATATCTAATCAGACTATTAGACTCAGGATTCCTTCTCTTGCCTAGATACAGTACATTGCATGCTACAGTAGATAGTGATGTCTTATTATCTTAGCCAACACATTAAACAGAGAACTGTACATGAACATGAAATACAAATGATTATTTGAAACCATACAAATCCACAAATATGCTTCACATACTGTAAATCCTCAAATGTGCAAAATGTAATAAGAAGTGAGTGCTTAAAACAAACCATTCAAATGCTGATTGGTGTAAGAAGATATACATGATCACAATCAGACCATACAATTCATAAAGAAACTGAACCATAGAATAAAAGGAAGCATTTGAGGGAATTATTAAAGGAGCATCATCAGCAATCGGTTTTTTTTCAACGTTAACCTTGATTTATTTTCTGTGAAGCTAAATGTAACCACGCACATGTAGCTCTTACTGGCATTACCTAGCACAGCTGATGACTGGCTGTTAAGAAAACACCCCTAACATTCGGTAACCGGACGATCAAGGGAGGTGAGCCATGATATAAGTCACGAGGAAATGTCCAGAGGCCGATCAGAATAAACGTATGAGTTGCAGTGCTGCTTTTAATTAACCTAAAAACGAGCCTCTGAGGACAGCTGTAGACATGCTCGAGCTCAGAGCTCTGGGGGTCCCTCCCAAAACGCGCGTGACAGATTTGTTGCCTCATTCAGATTCTGAATATTAAATCACCGCATTTTATTCTGCATGATCAACATCCCCTTACTGACCTGCATTCTTACATATAAGAAGAAATGTCAAAGTGATGCGATGATCTGTCCTGCATTAATAAATTGCTGCAGATATCATACGATCTCTCAGACAGGCCTATTATCCTGCCTTACCGTGAATACGACTGCAGGGGAAAACCGTGCACTTAAGGTTTCTTGATGTGTCTTTCGATTACATTCCTTTGTGTGCTAAATCATATCTCCTCCAAAACGCAGATCACATTGCTTTCATGCAATTGTTCACGGTTTTCTTTCCTTCTCATGTTTTTGCCTTGTATAGAAACAGTCACCGAGCCGGAAATGCCGACAAAAATAACGTGCCGAAAACAGACATATAGGCCAATTACCGTTATTCCGGTCAAATCCTGAGAACATGGAGCTCACCTCAGTTCAACGACGCAACGTGTTAGTTTCTCCTCCAGTCTGCACGGAGGTCGTCCCTGTGAACGTGTATCTCTGTGGTCTGGAAAATGTGATTAGATGTGGTCAAATGGAGCAGCCAGGAGATAAATAAGGCGGCCGCACATCGCAGCACTACAGGCTGTGGACGGACGCTCCCCTGCAGCAGCAGCAGCACGGCTGAGCGGCGCACCTCAACACTCAGCGGTCAATCAGCGAGCAGCAGCTTCATCATGGAGCTCCGACATGCGACCGCAACATACACCTGACTCCAAACACTGCGTAAACAATCATGCACAGTCTCAGCAAAGTCATGCATGCTATTTTGGAAATATTTTCCAAAAGTAGACCAGCTCACCAATTCAACAATAGTGTATACATGTGGGTGTGTGTGTCGTGATTCGTGAATAAAGGCCTGTGTTTAGTGTGTTTGACTGAAAACTCATCTCTTTCGACTCCACTTCGAGCAATAAAATGAAAAAACAAACAAAATAAAAAGCACTTAGATACTAGTAACCAGGGGCGTCGCCTGGACCTGGAAACATTCGGGGCTTAGCCCACAGTGGGCGGCCGCGGCGCTACTGTGGAATTTTCTACTGCAACACTCCCCACACGCACACAGTACACCCGCGACTAGGGATGGGTATCGTTAAGGTTTTAACGGTACTACTACTTATATCGATACCGCTTATCGATCCGGTCTTTTAACGGTACTTTTATTGGTTCTTTTGGAGAAAAAAATGTTTGAACAAATCGTATTCAATCGTATTAAATAAAGAATTCTAAACAGAATTACGCAGCCCCCCTGGTGACATTGGTGAGAAAAATATTAATACGTGGCCACGAATTAATAATGCGTGGTCACTAATTAATAATGCGTGGCCACGAATGAGTTATTATGTTCCCATGCATTATTAATGCGTGGCCACGAATTACATGTATTTACCCTGATTACATGTTGCCGAAGCTTTTATCCGAAGTTACTTAAAGGGGACCTATCATGCAAAATGCACTTTTGTACGTCTTTTATACATGAATATGTGTCCCCGGTGTTCCAGGGAACTCACCAAGTGTCAGAAAACACAATCCTCTCTATTTTCCTCCATACCCAAATCTCTAAAAAAGGGGCTGCAACGGATCTGATAAAAACTGATCCAGATTTGAACACTGTCCTGACGTCAGGACGGTGGCGCTACGCTATTGGGCCAACCCCACCAATCAGGAGGAGACAACCACGGCATTGCCGTTCGAAAGCGCTGGAGACACTGTAGTACATATGCCAGGCCTCTAGATGGTGCTGTTCTCACAGAATCAGCCCTTGCAAAAACAGAGCTAACATTTTTCAAATTGAGCGAAATGAGGCATGGCTAAAATGCATGATCTGTTTGGTATTTTGAAAAAAAAAAAGTATAAATATGCCTTATATAGGTATGGTCCTACACTATATTATTCAAATATAGCATGATAGGTCCACTTTAAAATAACATACTGTAATGATGAAACGGATAGGCTAAGTCAGCCCATATAAATAGATCCGTATAAGTTGCAACCAACTTCAAATCATACGAGAGGAAGCATCACTAAAATGAAAGTGTGGGAACATAAAGTGTATTTTAGAAACACATGTCCTAACATCCTACTTATTAGGTTGTTCCCCGCCCTGACCCCTGATAGCCAATACACTCCATCAGCTGCCATGTAGCCTACCTGAGGCCTCCCATGTCTTCAACTCAGGGGAAAGCCTAACAACACCGCAGTTAATACTAATAACATTCCTATATACAACCAAAGGTCAAACATTTAATTTTAAGTCGGGGTTTTGATCTGTTGCCCTAACATAATTGTAACACTGCAAAATTGTACATGCCAAAGTGCAGCGAGGTGTATAACAACAACAAATCTAAATACTAAACTGCGTTACATTGTGCAGATCCCCTTTAGGCAATATGTGGACAAGTGTTTTTCGTTTTATTTGGGTTTAATGACATTTGTGCCTTTACAGGTGCCAAATAGCCTATATGATGGAGAGACAGGAGGACCCCTTGTTGCAGTTTCTGCAAGATCGTAGAACTGGAGAAGAAATCCTGAACAAACTCAAAAACGACACGATATTCTTCAGAAAATATTCATGAATATCATCTACACAATGAAGAATCTACTTCAGCATATACAGTGAAAGAGTAGTACATTCTCATGCCATAGCCTACAGTACATTGCCTCTTATTTAGACTTATCAACAGATACAGTATGGATGGCAATAAATAATATGGTCACTATTAATCCTCCCAGGATAGAGATATTAGTCAACTAACTAGATGTACAGTACCGCATAACGGTACAGAATATGACCGCCGCTAATGTTTCACACCACACACACACACACACACACACACACACACACACACACACACACACACACACACACACACACACACACACACACACACACACACACACACACACACACACACACACACACACATATATATATATATACACAGAAACAGTGCATACATACATATTTGTGTTTTATTTATTAATTTGGCCTGTAACTTTCTTGAAATAGAAAGCAAAAATGTTGGTTTTTCAATTAGGTATAAATATGTAAATTTGCAAAATAATTTACGTAGTTTGTGACCCATGACAATTTAAATATGATCCTGTTAAAATGTTGTTACTTTTGTTTACATTTGCAGATTGATTCGTCAGTAATTGCACTGATGTCTGAAGAAGATCTGGCAAAGTACATCCCACATTACAGAGACAGATTGGCAGCTGTAGCCTTCTGCCGCAACAGTCATTGTGGAGATTCAGTAGCATCTGAGGTCAACTGGAAAGAATAAGGGCAAAGTGTTGTGCTCCAGACAGCAAGACAGTTAAAAGACAGCTGCTTTGGGATAAATTAAAAGGAAACAAAAATGCAAAGAGACAGGCAAAGATATTAGAAATTGGGTGGATGAATTTCAGTGAAGACGACAATGCTTTCAAACAGGTGCGAACTGTAAAAGGCGGTGGGACCCGGCATGTCTGTGTGGACAGGCAGACAAAACTCGGAGAAATCCAAGAAATGGCTGAGTCCCTTTTTTTCCCAAATGGTCTCTGCAAGTCTCTAAAACTGACAGACCATGACCGCAGGATCCGTGATTTTGCACAAAATGAGATTGACCCAGATTGTACAGTTGAGGATCTGTATGAAAAAAACAAAGTTAAATTACTCAGATTGTACCTTTGCACCAAGATAAATGTTCAAGAGGCGAACAGCTTTACTGATACTTCACCAGTAACACCCTCAGAGGGCATAAGAAACCCTTGACCCTTGTCAGACGCAGATGTGATAAACCTCTTAATTCCACATGCAGAGCTACTGACGTATGAAGAATCATCAAATGTGAAGTTCATCAGTGACAACAATGAGGAAGGAAGAAGACAAGACCAAGGAACTCTAGAAATGACAACAGAAATATTTAGGATTGAGGAAGAAGAAGACCAAGGTACAGGAGTATCACATGCTTTGCCTGAAGCCCATGATGCAGCAATGCAGCGCAACACCTACACTGATGATGAAGTAACCTTTGGCCCGTCATTTAGTCATTCTGTTGATCTGGAGGATACTTTGCCTTGGGAGGGATCAAAGCCAAAGGTCATCATTGTGGTGCGTAGGGGGAACTGCCTTGCTGACCTCCTAGCAGCCTTTATTGACCCTGATATGATGAACAGAGATGTGCACATTAAAAGGAAGCTTCCTAATGGAGAGCTGGAAGAAGGTGAAGGCTCAAGTGTGCTACGTGACTGCCTAACAGAATTCTGGGGGGAATTCTATAGTAAATGCACATTAGGTACCAATGTTAATGTTAAATGTTACTAGTAGTAACCAAGCACTTACATACTAACAAAGCACTTATACTAACAAAGGACTGGCTTATCTAAAGCAGTTGAGTAGCACTTAAAATGGTTTGGCTCTATGAAACCTGATGTACTTATATGATTCTGTTTTCTTCAAGTTTGTATCTTCTTGGTCGAATGCACTTATTGTAAGTCGCTTTGGATAAAAGCGTCAGCTAAATTAAATGTAATGTAATGTTTGTCTTTGTATTTCTGGTATAATGTGTGGGAATGTGTGAGTGCATGTTTTTGACAGCCTGGCTCCATATTGGCTATATTATGCAAAAAAGTAGCAAAGCTTGAGTTCAAATATCAAGGTAATAAAATGTGGAGAAGGAGTTTTTAGTTATTATTAATATATATGTATATCCAAACCTAATATAACATTTTCGTTTTTAAATATTAGAATACAGTAGAGTGTTGTTACTATAAAAAAATAATCCGCATAAATGTAATTTAGCTAAATTGGCTCGTGATGCGTCATTAGCCCAACGGAAGCCCAATGGTGTCTAGACTGTACCAATGTGTGAGTTTATATTGTGAAAAGACAAACGTTGGCAGTGATTTTTGTGTCACAAATGTGGAGGCGCCGCCCATTCACTCTGTACCGGTGTTGTAAACTAAGCTCACCCCTGGACACTCAACTATTGACTGACATGCAAACTATCCAATGGCAGAGCAGCACGTCTCATCTCGACCAATCAGCAGCTACCAAGTCAGGCGTTCTGTGTTTTGTTTCTGTCAGACTAATGGGGGCATGATGAGAGAGTCTATCATGGCTGCTTCCTTGGTACGGTGGCTAAACAGATTGTATGTTTTCTTGTTGATTTGTCCACTATGTGTCCCAGCCTTCTTGAATCTAGAAGAGCTGAATGAGATGAAATATGGGATTCAAATTCTTCCCGATCCCGTCATGTTGGGGCAGGTGAGTGAGGGTACTTGGGGAAGGTAACCAACCGTTAGCTTGCTAGCCATAAAGTAGGTTAGCTTTCGTACAATATCTTCCTTTAATGTTACTAGTGCGAGTATTGAATAACCTGTGTCTTAGCTAGTTGAGAAATTGTCTTTAAGTTGTACACATTAAATGTAGGAGAAAACGTACATTCTGAAGGTATTTCTATGAGAGCTACGCAGCAACCATTGTTGACAGCTGTCACAACACAACATCCCACACACTCAGCTAGTTGCAACATCTTTACATTATGAAAGACTAACCACGAAGACAGTCTCAAAACAAGGTAGTTCATAGGATAAGGTGCAAATGTATGCCATTGCCACACTTGAAGAAGCTGCAGCTGACAGTGTTTCTCCTTCAGACCAAGGCAGAGGAGGTGATGATGGTGTCCAGTAAGTACAAGCAGCTGTATGAGTGTCGACTTCCAGCCCAGGCCGTCCGGTTCCACCAGGACTCAGCCTCTGAGTCGGAATCACAGGGGTACACTGGGCCGGACATCCCGGAACTACTCAGTCCAATGCACAGTGCCCAGTGTCTGGTGAAGGTTAGTTCTCTACTGCTTATCTGGGGGATCCAATAATCAAATGCATATGCTGTTTAGAAACTAATTCAAACTTGTATCCATCTGAGATAGAGCTGTCTTTGATGTAAGACACTGACTACGACTTTCACTTTTATGTATGTTGGCTTTTTAAGGAAGACTAATGTGTGACTGAGCCAAAACACTTCCACACAATTCTGATCACTCAATCCATAGTTGATGGTGTAAATTGTGTATGTGTAGTATATTCTCTGCAGTATGAAAGATAGTTTGTTTGTATAAGAATTTAAACAATTGGTCAACTATTTGATAACAGAAAATAATGACCAATATTTTTGAAAACATGTAATTTAAAGACATCAATTTGGTAACTTTGTTCTGACATTTTATGAGCAACCAACAATTAATCTAAAAGATAACCAGCAGATTTATTTTAAACAAATAAATGTAGCTGTCCTGGTGTAAAGAATGTGGATATTGTGCACATCCATTCACAACTTTCTGCAAGAACAAAGAAGCATACAGCATAAAAAGGTAGAGTCTGTACAATTAATTTTGACAATAAAAACCACCAACCCATACATACTGTACACCAGATAAACCTTTTTATTACAACTTCTGTCAACTTTCAGCATGTAATTCAACATACAAGGAAAATAAATGCCATACAATTCCAACTGGGTTTTCCTGTCAATACTCAACTCAAGATAACATTGAGAAAACACAGTCCTTATATCCAAGTGTATGGCAGAACATAAATCTGTTAAGTGCTTGTAGTTTCCTCTGGATAATGCAATTGGTGTTGACATCAACCAGTCACAATTGGATTTGCTGTTAACACAATCCTGATATATCTGGATACAAAGTCTGAACACAGCCACTAAAACTAAGTCATATTCATACATGTGGTCTTTCCAGGACAACCACATTCCTCTTACTCATTGCACTGAGTTGCTTCTCTGTATGGCACCTTTTACACAATTTACTTGATTTATATCTTCACTCCACTGGCTGCCCGTTCTTTCGAGGATTCAGTTTAAAACTCTTTTATTTACTTTTAAAGCCCTACCTCGCTGAGCTGTTACACAGCTACACGCCCACTCGCACTCTCAGGTCAGCTGATCAGTTGCTCCTGAGGGTGCCAAAAACAAGTCTAAGCGCAGAGGGGACCGTGCATTCTCTGCTGCCGCCCCTAAACTGTGGAACGACCTGCCCTTGCTAATCAGACAGGCTCCCACACTGTGGGTGTTTCTCAATCGCGAGTAAAGCTGCTTCAGAGCCACTATTTCAAGCATACTACGTCATCGAGTGCCGCCGAAGTACTGTTCCAATCTCCAGCATACTTGGAAATCTACCGAGCCCGGCGTACTCCGTTTGGAGAAATATCGAGGCTGCACATGAGTAGACTCCGCGGTCTTTAAATCCCCACAATGCTTTGCGCACGGACCAATTTCCCCAAATCTGTGGCGGAAGATGTAAGGCGGGGCCTCTCATATGACGCACACCTGCACACTTGCTAGCGTGTTCCACACTTCGTTTTCTGAATGCCAGGAAGTATTCTTGACTCGCTTCTGAAGCAAGATGCTCGGCAGACATGTGCTACCAAGCAAGCGTACTCGAGATTGAGAAACAACCCGGCTGTTTTTAAATCCCATCTTAAAACCCACCTCTTCTCCTTAGCATTCGGAACCAAGTAGATTGTTGCTTTTATTTGCTTTCAGTGGTCTATTGTTTGTACTATATGGTTGTTTTTATTTTGTAATTGTTACGTTTGTTTTGTGTTTCGTATCTTTTATGTGATTTTATACTTATTTTTATGTTTTGTGAGCTGAGCTGTGTGATTTTATATTTTATGTATCTCTCTGTACAGCACTTTGGTCTGGAGGTTTTAAAGTGCTTTATAAATAAAGTTGGATTGGATTGGATTTATAAATCATTATCAGCTACACAAGTAAGTTTATCTTGTGCTGATTAATGTTTTCACTGTTTAATTTCTAGAGTTTAGTTAAGGTTCCTACCACAGATCCTGCTGTAGGAACAAAATGGAAACTTAAGATTACACAACTGTGTTCAGTTCTTGGATTCTTTGGGTGTTTCTCAATCTCGAGTACGCTTGCTTGGTAGCACATGTCTGCCGAGCATCTTGCTTCAGAAGCGAGTCAAGAATACTTCCTGGCATTCGGAAAACGAAGTGTGGAACACGCTAGCAAGGCCCCGCCATACATCTTCCGCCACAGATTTGGGGAAATTGGTCCGTGCGCAAAGCATTGTGGGGATTTTAAGACCGCGGAGTCTACTCATGTGCAGCCTCGATATTTCTCCAATCGAAGTACCCCGGGCTCGGTAGATTTCCAAGTATGCTGGAGATTGGAACAGTACTTCGGCGGCACTCGATGACGTAGTATGCTTGAAATAGTGGCTCTGAAGCAGCTTTACTCGCGATTGAGAAACACCCCTTTACTCATGGGTATTGAGCACTGGAAATTAAGCGGTCTGTTTTTTGTTAACAAGCCTTCCTGTCTATTGTGACTGTAGGGAACCAAGTCTTTGTTCCAAAACAAATTAGGCTTAAAAAAAGCAGGTTGCTGGCAGGATATGAATTAGTTCCTCAAACCACTTCCCAATAACATACTCTCCTTAACACCTCATAAGATACTTGTGTCTGGCTGCGTTAAAACAAGCCACTACTGTTACTACCCATGTCATTGTGACTGTGATTGTGTTGGAGACAGTATATCATTTAGAGCCTCATTTTAAGTAATAAGTTAAAATAATAGATGTCATGAAAAAAACAAGAGTTGATGTTTCACATACCAAAACCCTTTATTGTTTTGTTTACACCCGTGGCTGATGTTCTTATGACTAAAGTGCTGATCAGGCTATATGCATCTGCTGACTCTTCTCCCTTGGGAAACCCTGATGTATCAATACAACAGGAACTTAATACAGCCTGTAATTGTTTAAACAGTACAGTTGTTGATATAAAATAGCTGTCTAGTGCGCTTGCATTGAGAGGATACAGTATTTTGTACGTATTTTAAACATACAACTTGACTTTATCATTTCAACACAAACACACACTAGCTTAATAGTCCTCGTCCATCCTGACATATACATTTTTAATCAGCAATCAAAATTGACTTAGCTTACAAGTCAACACATTTAGAAAGTATGTTGTAAACACCAGTACAAGTTGTTAGAGTATGTCAAATTGTTATAGCATTAACGATTATACTGTAGATGACGCTGGGCAAGTTAAATGAAAAGGAAAATATGTCTGTTAATCACTGTTTATTAAACCGTTGCTGTCTTTGTTTTGCTGCAGACGAAGGACTGGTGGACGTATGAGTTCTGCCATGGTCGGCATATCAGACAGTACCACCTTGAAGGTAAGAGCTTACCTTGATGGTTTTTTATCTGTGTTTCACAAGAATCGCTTTGACGGCTGTTGTTCTTCTCCCCTCAGACACAGAAATCAAAGGGGACATTCTCTTCCTGGGTCATTATGAATCTGAATTTGATTGGAGCAATGAAACAGCAAAGGTAAAGTTGCCTTAATGTTGTGGTGGTTTTTAAAATTGATTTCTCGTTTACATTTAAATAGCAGATGCATGATTAAATGGCCTTCAGCTTTTTAGACTAAATGATCTATAAGCACCTCTCTGGTGAACACAGGTTTAAAGTTGTGCTTTCGAGGATTTTTTTTACGGGGACACTTATCAATTGATCAACTATCGTATTTTTAGTTGAATAAGAATTTCTAAGGTCAAGGATAGCCCTACATTATATGAGTTTAACCCTATGTTGTGGTGGTTACTGGAAACTGCCACATGCAACTGTCTCGGGTGTTCATTTAACATTTTCCCATCACATAATGGATGAGTCCCTGCCCTCTTTTGTAAGAAAGGAAGAGTTTTTCTCTGTTTTCCAACCAAATACATGGTCATTACTCATCATCCTCCATCTTTAAGCTACAGACAAAAAGATAAAATCACTATTGTATTTGCTAAACATTTGCATGTCTAAGGAGTGCTTATCTTCTGCTGGTGATTTGTAATTCAAAGAGCTGCAGATGCAACCCTGCCCTTCAAATAATGTGTTTGGTGATTTAACAGGTTTCAGTAATGATGACTTTCTGTGAATCATTGGAAGTGCAAGAACATCAGAAGCATCACATTTTGTCTTATCATGATCATTTCTGTTTCCCAGGCCTCAAAACAGCACAGGCTGAAGCGCTACCACAGCCAGTCCTATAGAAATGGCTCAAAGTGTGACCTCATTGGAATTCCAAGAGAGACTGAAGTCCGGGTGAGACCTTTGAATCCAGGATAGATGTGTGCCCTTCTGCTTTGGCTAAAACTGTATTTGAAGTGGTGTGCATAAGGCTGATATGACACTGACATGAGTATGGATAATTATTTATCAACTAACTTAAGAGAAAAATCACAAGTACATAATATAAACAAAAAGCAACATGTTTTGAAGCAGAGAAAAAGAAAAATAATCTCAGAAACTCAGAAAATGTATCTGTTACTCCAGTATTCATTGTTTTTACTTTCTGAACCAATAGCTAAAGTAATTAAAGCCTGGTTGCCGTTTACTGTGACTCAAAATTATTTGGTATAGAATTAGGCTATGATAATCGTTAAGATCAATTGTGTACACATGAATGATCTTTCTGTGTATTATTTTTCAGGACACCAAACACATTCCTCCAAAGCTCATCAATGTTTCTGTAATAAAATCACACGTGTTTTAATAGAGACTTTTTAAGATTGAGCCATGGCAACAACAAAAACAATTCTGGATATACTTAATGAATTAGTTTCTAAGAACCTTTGGGTGATCATAAAGTATCAATGAGGTAGAAGTCCACACACAAGATTCACAGAAACTCTAACCCCATTGAAAATGATTCATGTTGTACCAGGTGATGTTCCTAAACACAACTCATTCATTTGACTTCATTTTTCCCAGTTTGTGTGTGAAGAAGGCTCTAATGACTACATCGCCCGAGTGGACGAGCCTCAGTCGTGCCGCTATGTTCTGACAGTTCACACCAGTCGTACCTGCCAGCATCCGTTCCTGCGGCCTCCGTCCACTGCCAAGCCCCAGGGCATTGTGTGCCAGCCAGCTCTGAGCGCCCAGCAGTACATGGACTACGTCAAGGCTCAAGTCTGTGAGTTGACAAAAATGAGGGGGCCAGTGACGCAGCATATAGTGAACGTTTTGCTTTCATTCTTTAATGTGTTGGAGCAGGATATAATGTGGGAAAGGAGTATTTAACAGTGTGATGCTGGTGTGATATAGAAATATAAGAAATAAGTAAGATGTTCAACTTACATTTGTGGATAAAAGGTGTTTGATATAGAAAATCTTCAACTGTCTAATTTTAAAATGTGTGACATGATTGCTCTTTCTTCTCCTCCTTCCTGTTTCCCTCTGTCGGTTCCCAGCGGACACAAAGCGTAAAGTGGAGCAGATCTCAGAGGAGCTGAGGACTCTCGATGAGATGTTAGCTGCTAATGAAGGGGCAGATGGAGCAGTGGAGGTAACAGCAGAGGAGACATCACCTGCACCAAGTGATGACCTGGGCCCGTCAGACAATACAGGTTTTCTTTTCTTTACACAAGAGGCAAAATACAATCAAAAGTATTTTAGTATTATGTCAATTAACAACAGAAAATTAAGCACTGCATTTGTATTTCTGTCTTGAGAAATGTAAACCTTGTGTGTGCTTTTATATTGAAACAGATACTGCTGGTTTATCTGAGGAGGCCGGGTCAGAGGAGGCAGAAGATTCTGACTTCTGGGAGGGAGTTTCAAAGCCTGGGAGTTCAAAAACAACAGAGTCCCAACAGGACAAGGTAAAGAAATACAGCTTTAGAGTCAGTAGTCCTTTTTTGAATGATGCTTAATAAAAGACCTAGCTAGCCTTATCATGTTCACAATGTCAAAACACTGCTTATCTTCTATGGATAATCCTCAGGATATTTTTAAATCTCATTTTATTGGAGTAAATGTTTAAAATTGACACATAGTTGATGCATTTTCAATGAATGATGTGTGAATCCACTTAACGTGGTTGACATGATATTTTTCTTTAATTTACAGGTCATTTTTCCTCCAACCTGAGCTCAACCACTAGAGGGTGTAGGTCACTTCATCTCCCCACTCCATAATTCTAACCCCATTTATTTTGTTTTCTACACACAGGCAGCAGATGACGACTATAACTCATTTACAGACAATGAAGTCATAGATGAGGGTGATGAAGGTGCTACTTTAATTTTTCGGTCTCCACTTCTCTATTATACACACACACACACACACACACACACACACGAACGATAAATGCCATTAGTGATAACTAGTCATTGCTTTTGAGAGCTTTAAACAAAAATATATTTGAATGTGTTTGATGAGTCTGTTATTTCAGAATGATCACAAGTCCAAATGAAGTTCTTTTGAATAACACTTCTTCTGTGTGTGGTTTTTCAGTGTTTGACTTTTCTCTCTTCACTTTTGTCTCTTTCAGTCGAAAAATTCAACTTTAAAATCATTACTGACCCAGCAGACCTGATGAAATTTGTCCAACATCTCAAAGAGAGTAACAGGAAGGTCAGTACGTACCCAGATTAAAACATCACTACTCACCTGGGGCCTCATTTATAAACGTGGCGTATGCTCAAAAGATGGCATACGCCAGTTTCTAAGCAATCTTTGCAATTTATAAAAAACAAACTTGACGGGAAAATGTGCGGTCCTCCACGCACACTCGGACCCATCCGTACGCGGTACGCACACAAACGGGAGAAACGAGAAACTGCGACACTGTTGGCAGAAGGAAGAATGGAGAGAAATATGTGGAAATAATACCATAAATAAAATGTTACCTCTCATTTATCATATGAAGAATTCATTTTCACAAATTGTTTAAAGCCAATCTTAAAATGATTAAACAAACGCCAGTTTGAGACTCCTCAGTGCACACAAAAACATAACTTGGAGAAATAAATAAATGTGGAAATGTTATTGATCACCTCTCGATTATGTTCTCTTGTTAATTAAGAAATGTATTCTCATAAATGATGCGGTACGTAGAAGGACAGAATTACTTTAAACTGACGCCGTTTAGCTTTTCTCTAGGTTGTATAGATACGAGCATGGTTTATACTATCACGTTTAATCATGTTTTATGCCGTTCGCCAATACTTGATAAGTCGCTCGTAAAACACAGGAGGTATGGAAACTAAGAACACCATATTTGGTAAATTGTACAGCTAATATAACACAACACATTAGTTGTATTTCCTTTAACTGGTGGATATAGAGTTACTGCGGGGGGGTTGCAGTGGAGACGCTGCGCACAGCTGATCGACAGCTGGAACACAAACCACCAAATAAAAAATAAAAATGTAGATCCAGTCATCATGACTCCACTCCGGAGGGATTCCTCAATAATTTCTTACAGTTTCTCATCATGGGGGGTGTCTCCTGTCCCCGGCACAAACACACTGACACACTGCCTGAGGAAGGCTATGTGTATTTTGTCATTAACTTATTTCCTCCATGCTGCTACTCTGGTTCAAACTGCATCCACCAAACAATGTGATTTGTCTCGACCTTCCCAAAAGAACCAAAATCTGACTCGGTGTGAAATGTCGTTTTTAGCTGTTCTGTCGTAATTTCCTGCGATCTTCTTCATGCAGTCAGTCAAAAGGAATATTAATACGGGGCGTTTTCTTTGACTATTTATAGGCAAATATGGGCGTTACGTGAAGCCCGCAAAAGCTGCGCCGCATTTCGAGTTGATTGTGATTTATAAAGGGAAACCGGCGTAGGACGTGCGTGCGCAGTGTTTTATAAAAAGGAATATGTTTGCGTATTTATTTTCTTTGTCCTACGTAAGCAACCTTCCCACGTGAATCCTACGCAAAGCTTTATAAATGAGGCCCCTGATCACGGGTTTTTCAAATCAATAATGTTCTTCTTTTTAGAAAGCACAACATCAAGCCAAAAGTCAAGGAGAGAACCCGGCAGAGAGCAGCAGGGTAACCGAGAAGCTGGGCGAGGATAAGAAAGATGAGGATGAACACTTGCTACAGGACTTCGAGGATGAGATTGCGGAGCTCTCAGTGCCCTCTGAAAAGATTGAAGAGATAAAGGAGGAAATGCAGAAGGATTTTGACAACATCATTAATGAGGTTTCCCACTAGAGACAATATGAAATGTTAACACCAAGATTGATGTTAAGAGAACAATATTAACATGTTATAAGCCAAATCTGCCACCACGACTTACCAATACTCCGACATGATTGGCTTTCTCCTGTGTTATAGGCTCAGCAGGAATTAGAGACAGATGGTCTTAAAGGGGAATTTGATCGAACTCAAGCTACACAGACACTGGAGACGACGCTGGACAAGTTACTTGACCATTTGGAAGAGAAAGAGGTGCAGGATCCAGAGCAGCAAACAGCTGGAGGTCAAAGAGCCAGCGACCCCACCAGGGGAAGCCCCAGCCTGGCCCCAAAACAGCCAGGTAACCCGGCCTCCTGCCCTTATTGGCTCATGTTCACATCTGTACACACTGTCTCCATCCTCCTCATGTTTCATTCACATGTACTGTAGTTGTTTGTTGTGATCTTCCATCCAAAAATATACGCACACATGGAGTTAGTATGATTCACAGAGAATTTATGTTGTCAGATTATTATTTGTTAGCATAGTTAGTGGTCTTTTCTCTGCTGCCATTGATGTATATGTGGGTGATTTCAATCAGTGATTACATCCAAATTGATAAACTATCACAGAATTATAAATCTATGACGGTTCAAAAATGTTTAGATTACACATTCTTGGCTCTTACCTCCTCCATCCTGTGGCCCTGCTGATGGGATTTTGAGGTGAACTGTGTTGTTTGTCCCTCTTTCTGTCTCGTCAACCCAGACCAAGCGGATGACGACCATGTTAAGATCAAAATTACTAAGTATAAGACGGGCAGCAGCCCTGATGGGGAGGTCAAAGTTCAGGAGATGGGCGAAGGAGACCCGCAGTGGCAGCACATAAAGGACGTGGTTAAAGAACAGCTAGAGAAAGCAGGACTGAAGGCAGAAGGTATGAGGGGGGAGTGCCCGAAACACTCACGGTCTTTTCTCTCTTCCATCTGTTATCTTGAGCACATAGTATTTCTGTACTTTTGTATTCTTAAAAAAACAACAACTGTCGGATCTATGTTTTTACAAAATTAAGCTGTTAAGAAGATGCTTAACATCATGCTTAAAACCTGAAAGGGGTCCTTAATTGTTCATGCTGGCAGCAAACGCATGCTTTTATGAAGATCATGATAAAAGATGTGAACACTAAAGGTTCTTAATTTAAGAACAGCAACATTAAAGATCGTAGTAGCGGGAAATAGCTGACATCAGGTAGCTGAAGCTTATCTAGAGACAAAGGGAAATACAAAGTTGGGTCCATCTGTGTCCTTTCTTTTTCATCCACTGTTGTGTTTGTGCCATTCTTCATTATGATTTATTGTTTTTTTTCTCAAATTTGAGCCACTTATAAGTATGTTTGTTTGACTGGAAAGCCTGCCTTCCCCCCTGTTTTTTTCTATCAGGTAAAATCGAGGTGAAAATCTTGACACGAAAAAATGCAGAGGACGCAGGTGATCAGTGGCTGACTGAAGAAGATACTAAGTCCTTCAGGGAGCTCCTCATAAATCTCCTGGTAATTTAAGAAGTGATAATTACTTTTTTGGTGTTAATTTAAAACCTTATTTTAGAGAATTATGCTCTGAAATTCTGTGTTTACCAGCAGTTATGTGCTGTAGAGTAAGCTAGGTAATTATTTTCAGCATTCAGTCGGTAGGGCTGTGGTTGTTTTTGAAAGCATGTTTTCCACCCATCTTACAGACTGGAGGCACAGAAGAGGTTTACAAAGAGCAGAAGAGGCAGCAGGAGTTGGAGAACAACTATAGGTTTGTGTGGGGAGAGTCCCAGGAGGAGTCCCAGTCATCCAGCACCACTGACTCAGACGACGTGGACGTATGAGATCATTCAGTGCACCTTTTGTGTAGGTGAACTCTTGTGGAAAACTACACAGCGGCTGAAGCGCAGCCGCCCAAAGGATTAAATTACTGCTATTAAACCTGGTGGATAATGTCAACTCACCTATTTGCACATTCAGAAAATGTGTCCTTGTGTCTTGAATAGGCACCTGTTGTAGGCACCATTTTAATGTTGCACGATAAAACTGCAACATCTCAGCTATTCTGTGCAACTGAATGAAGTTATGCATTTTCCCCTTTTTGATGGGATTCAGTTTTGATAGATGGCGATGTACAGTATCTACATATTTTTTTTATATTTCAGTTAATTTGTACTGAATGTTAGCGTTTCCATCTGAAGTTATCAACAGCACACTGTTTAAAGTCAAATTATAATTTACATTAGTTTTTTAAGTTGCTATTGACAAAGAAGTCCTTACCTTTAATGGACACAGGTATGAGGATTTGTGCATGCCTCAACAAACTGGAGGAGTGTATGCACAGGTTGTTCATTTCAGTGTTTACTGATCGTGTCTGGATATGGAAAAATACTAAAGAGTTCACAGTTAATTTCCTACTTTCAGTTGCTGCATTTGGGGGATTAGGTTAAACACAACTGTAGATGACAAGTGTATGTACAGTGCTGTGGCACTTCATATCCCTAGAACAAGGTTCTTTAATGAAAATGTTTCTTTTAATTTGTCCTGGGTTGTTGAAGGTATTCAAAAGAAAAACACTAAAAGGATTGTAGGATGGTCAGATCTTTCAAGTGTGTACTTTAATTTCTGATGAGAATGTTATTTAGCAAACTAAAACAATTTCAATCAGTTTCAGCGTATCAAAAATAATAAATCTACACAAAACTTTTCTATGGATCCTTCAAAGGTGTACTTAAGGGCTGACTTTGTATAATTTGTGAATAATTGTGATAACTTGTAATTCAACATGTACATAATTATTGCGTGAATAGATCTTTTGATGATATTTGATTTGTTGTATATTAACACGAATGAAGTGGGGCTTGAGTTATCCGAGTAAATTGTGTTTAAATTTGTGACTGTGCGTCTCCTTTATGAAACTCAAGGTCACTATGTAACTAAGTCAATACAAACTTTATCAAACACAAATAAGGCATTTGATCTTTAGGGAACCAGCGTCAAGAGTAGATTGGCTTTTCTTAACCGACTATTTGTCTTATCAGATAATGTAGATTACTCTTGCATGTTATTGCCAAGTAAAAAACAAAGAGCCAGACTTTGTTCAAGAGTGGGATGCAGGATCCAGTTCCTTCATGCAACTTAAAGGTACAAATATCAATGGTTTAAAACCCTTCAACTTGTCCCTAACAAACAAAGATTTGCCATTCATGACATGATTTTCTGCACTAGTTGTTTTGATCCTCACGCTTCGGCTGCACACATTATTTGTAGAGCCAGAAAAAGACAAGATATAATACTGTATTCTTGAATAGGACTATATTACTATAAGGAACACCATGTTTTCATAGTTTTCATGTTTGACACATTTAACATGTGTCAACATGGAGCCGAATGGTATACTGCTTGGTGGATATATAGTAGGCTACCAAAAAGAAAAGAGACCAACCAGTAAATTCGGTACACATGTCACAAAAATGCGGTGAAGAAGAATATAAAATACTTCCTTTGGAAATGTAATAGAGTACAATAATATTAACAAACTGACTTGTACTTATTATATCACTGGCTATAGGTCATAGTTTGGTTAACAGCTATCAAAGTGTGTGATCTTAATGGTGAATATTCAAGATATTGAATGTGGACAAATGAATCGAAGCTGTTGATTGATTTTCTCTGGAGGAAACGTTTGCGCTTTTATTTTGAAATAACGCGACTTGACCGGAAGCTTTTTGTTACTGGACGTTAGACAGCAGTCAGTCAGATAAGTTAGATGTAGTTTATGCAGCGTTTTGGAGCACTTTTATATTGGTATTAGTCTGAAGGCTGTTTATTTAAACTGCTGAGGTAATCCAGTTAACAGTCGTTTCAGTTTTCGCGGTGAGATGAATAACTCCGTTACGTTTAGCCGCTACAGTATGTTGACACGACAGGGAGGATTAGCAGTGAAGTTAGCAGTGTCGATACAATTAACAGACTAGCCAGCTAGCTAACGATAACACCAAGGCCAGGAACTGAAGGCCATAACTGCTGTTATCAGTCGTGTTTTTTTATATCCAGAAGATTATTGATATGGCGTTGTGGTAGTCTTGCTGCGATAATTGTTAGCAGCATTTTGGTGTGGCTAGCTGAGCGGAGAGAGATACAAAAACTAAGCAACGTCGAGGCAAAACCTGGCTCAGCTTTCGCTCTTCAAAGTTGATGTTTCCTGTTGAAATGAAGTAACTGCGAGATCCCCCAGCTGCTATGGTGTCTGCAATACCACTGGTGAGTTTCTTTTTAACTGTTTGTTTCTTTTAAGTTTGTCTGTCGAACATGTCTTGACAATATCTACAGAATATTCCGGTAAACAGCATAAGAGGAGCTGAATATGAGGAAACACAAAGACAGTTCTTTACAAACACGAGAACACAGACATTTGGATATTCACATGGCAGTCTCAAGGACAGAAGTTGTACAAATAAAAAAAACTGGGAGTGGCGCCTGATACTTGTCACCAGTCGTGTCACCTGGTTTGACTTCAGGTTTTCAACGTTGGGCCATTGTAGTGAAACTCGTGACGTGTATAAGCCTTTCTCCCTCATTGTCTCACCCAGCACCTGCCGAGTTGAACGACTGACAGAGAGACACCGGTCCAGCATGAAGGCCATCGGGTCCAGACTGTCCTTCTGCGCGGGTTTCGCGGTGGGAACCCTCACTCTGTACGTGTTTCTGCGGCAGGTGTGGTTGGAGAAAACGTTGTCAACACAGCAATCTGATCAATTCCTTGACAACCAGCTACAGTTAAATGACGAAGATAAGAAAGTATGGAAGAAGGAGAGGTCTGCTCTTTTCAACCTGAAACACCCTCATCATAAAGGTACGCCACATGGACGTTTTATGTGTACAATAATGCAACGACTTTTTTTTATTTTTTTTAGCCAAACCATATTGACTCACTTTATCAGGTTTGAGCTTCCTTGTTCTCAGCCTGTATAGTAGCCTGCTCTGTACATTCTGTCCAGTTGTTCTGATACTATTACAAAACTGAATTATTCTAAAGTAAAGAACAATATTATTGTAAAGTCTAGCAACAAAGTATATATTTTTTACAAGGCCTGCTATTTTTCTTGTTAATGCACTTTGGAAGCAGCTAAAGTTATCAAAAAAAAAGTCTACTAATACTCTAATCTGCACTCCTGTAACAAACATACTAGTTTAACTTGTAGCAAAACTTCTAAGCTGATTTGTATATCTATTTGTTATTGTATAGAAATTAAAGATTGAAAGTATTTAGACAGAATTCTCCAATATTTTTGTTAAAGTAATAAGAACCCCTCACAAATAAGCTCCCCAACTGCATATTAATGTGTATATCTCCTTCCTAGGTGAGGACAGCAGCATGGCCGATGAGCTATACAAAAAGGTGCGTATTCTTTGCTGGGTGATGACTGGACCCACGAACCTGGAAAAGAAGACTCGTCATGTGAAGTCCACGTGGAGTCGACACTGCAACATTTTGATCTTCATGAGCTCTGTAGATGACCCGGACTTCCCCACAGTGGGCTTAAATACAAAGGAGGGTCGGGACCAACTGTACTGGAAAACAATCAAGGCCTTCCATTATGCCTATGAGCATCATGCCCACGAGGCGGATTGGTTCCTTAAGGCAGATGATGACACCTACGTAGTCGTAGACAACCTGCGGTGGATTCTTGCAAACCACACGCCAGAAGAGCCAATTTACTTTGGCCGAAGATTCAAGCCCTACACAAAGCAGGGCTACATGAGTGGAGGAGCAGGCTATGTGTTGAGCAGAGAGGCTCTGCGGCGATATGTCGAAGGATTTAAAAGCAAAGTGTGCACTCACACTACCCCTGTAGAGGACCTGGCAATGGGACAGTGTATGGAGAAAGTCGGGGTGCTGGCAGGGGACTCCAGAGACTCGTCACACAGGGAGACATTTCACCCATTTGTCCCAGAGCAGCACCTCACCTCCAAGTTTCCTAAGAGCTTCTGGTATTGGAGCTACTGCTACTACCCCATCACTGAGGCAAGTGCAGCAAACATTGCACAATTTCTCCTTTCTGTTTACCTGGTATCACACTTGTATGACGCAGCTTCAGTTCTACTAATGTTTGAAAGGATACTGGACCCATTGTATCCATATTGTATTTGGATATGACTTAACCTGACAACATTAAAGGTAGGGTAGGTAAGTTTGAGAAACCGGCTCGAGATACACTTTTTGTTATATTCCATGGAATGCTCTTAACATCCCGATAGCAATGAATATCTTAAGTGCTTTGACAAAAAATCCATAAAAAAATGTCATCTGTGGAAGCCGTAGTACTGTATCATCAGCCCGGCTAAAATAACTGGATGGCCTACCTGCCTGTCAGCCTTCCATCTGTGCACAAACTTATCTCGTGCCCTCATTGGTCATGTGCGCTTTCGTGTGTGTTGAGGAGGGGCTCTATAAGGAAGTGGCAGATTTTCTCCGGTTGTGTATTTTCAAATTCTAGCGATCTCGAGCCGGTTTCTCAAACTTACCTACCCTACCTTTAACACCTTTTTATTAATATGTGTACAGTGTATCCAGTTTGTCCACATTGAGATCAGATCATGTTTTCCCTCTTATCTTTATGTCTCTTCCTGCTACTGCTGTCAGTTCTTTTAGAGGAAAGGTGGCTGCTTGAAGTGCAATGTTATGACATTTTGGAGATTCACCGTCCAGCACTAGGATTATTTTTTGTTGTTGTACTTACTCTAACTGGAAATATCTGGATAAAAACATGCTGTCATTTACCCTTTGCATATTCTGTGGTCAAACTGTCTGAGCCACAGTAACAATGAAAGCCACACAGACACCACAAGGCTTTAAAACCCTCGAAAGTTCTGTGTTGTAACATTAATTAACTTTGGTCTGTGTCTCATACCAAGACATGTTGGGTACTTGTATTTGTGGGAATTTGGTCTTCAAAGTGCTTGAACATCTGATGTTCAAGAAGGTGTGGAAATGATATGCAATGTGATATTTACCAATTGTGTTAACAGGTACTTTTTAACACCGCTCATAAATGTGGTGATTTGTCTCCATAATCTTTCATAACCACATTCTCTGTTTCCTCCTCAGGGTCCAAACTGCTGCTCGGATGTGTCCGTGTCATTCCACTATGTAAATGCATTACATATGTATTTAATGGAGTACTACACATATCACCTGCGTGCCTATGGCTACAGATACCGTTACCAGCCCCCTGTCCCGCTAGGATACAGTTTTTCAGAGTCAAGTCTCCTGGGTGCTGCAAAAAGTAAAGAAGAACTCCTTTCCAGGGAGAAAGTAATAGTGGAGGGGGGCGATCCGTCCAATACTGACAAGAAACAGGATGCAGATCCTCCTCCTGCCGCTGTGGAAGTCCCTCCTGCTGCTCCAGCAGCAAAATAACAGTTTGAATCTGTGCGTGAAAGGAACTGATCTTTTCAGGTAGGCCGACGTGGGTTCTGAATGTTTCTGGTTAATACGAAGGTAGAAAAACAGTCCATTTAGATTTGAAATGTCCCCACATACGAATGCGTTGCTGATGGACTGCTTTAATGTGAATTGTGCACAAAAGACTGGTCTTAGGGATACGAGGTGATTTATGTCTTTTTATTTTTGTTTTCTGGTTTTTAAGTGTTTTTTAACGTTTTATTTTTAAATTTGGAATAGCTTTCTTTAAACTGCTTTTATTTGGAAACTTACTAAAGCACTTTTTTAAACCACGTGAACCTGGAATGGGAACCAAGTATTTCACAAAACCAGTTCATTAAAAATTGTTCCCATTGTTTTACCCTTGACTATTGCAACCCACGAAGACAACCTGTTCTGCCACTCTCTGCAGCGAGACAGTCATTGGTTTGGGGTTGTTTGACCTCAT